TGCCAGCTGGCTCTGACTACCACTTGCCAGTAAATTTGGGAGCTAGCACAATACAAACAAAAAGCAAAATTGGTCTGGAAAGTAAACAAAATTAGGAAGGAGAGGCAAAACACTCTTCTCCCTGCAGATTTTTCAAGATACCTTGCAAAAACACCCGAGCCGAGAGCCAATAACCCATGGTGTGTGACACAGCTGAGACAGAGAAGTTGTGGCATCCCTGTTTTCACACATCTGTGTGGTAGACTCTTTTTGCTAACACATGTTCTGTTATTGTTGAAGAGAAAAAAAAAAAAAAAAAGAAAAAAATAAAAGAGGATTTCCTCAGTACCTTTCCAAGGTAAAAAATGAAAGAAAAAAAAATAGAAGAGGGTACCTTCAGTACCTTTCCAAAGTAAAGGAGGGCCTGTAGGAAAAGAAACATCTGTGTGACCCAGGTGTATCACATTTCTCCCTTCCCATGTCACAGCTCTACTGGGGTTCGTGGGATTTGTTTTCTTTGCTATTCAGATCTGGAGAACTCTTTTGGTTTTGATTTCCCTATTGCTGTATCTTCTATGCAATTCCTTTTCTAAAGACTGACTTACTACAGGAGAAGTGCTAGCCATTGCATTATTTGTATTGCTGTACAGTGGAGGTGTGGTTTACTAGTTCTGAGTGTGCCTCTTACCCCCCTCCCTTTTTTCTCCTTCCCTCTGTTTGTAAATGCCTGCATTTATTCTGTCAGCCTGACATGTACAAAGTGTAAGAAAGAATTTTTAAACAGGTAATAAATTATATTTATAAGCAACTGGAAAAAAATACACCACTACCTTGTGTTCAATTGTTTAGTTCCTGGAAGCTTGGAAGTGGAGTCTTCTATTTAGTTTCTTAAAAAAAAAAAAAAAAAAAAAAAAAAATCTCCTCAGAAGAAATGTTTCTGTACATAAGAACTGTGGGATTCAGTGGCATGCCAGGAGCAATTTGCAGCAAGCACAGGGCTTTGTCACCTCGATGTGGCCAGGTCAAGGGGGATACAGAAATGCTGCTGGAGAAGAACTGTAATGCCACTGAGCATAGACGGTCTGGGGCAAAGCAGGAGGGCTGCAGGGGCTGTGCAGCTCAGGGGAAAATTGCTGTTATTTACACACTTCTCTGAAAATAACCAGCAAGGCAATTAAACATTAGGAAACAGTGAGCTGGATCTGCAACACAGCACTGCAGAATGAGAACAGTGCTCCAGCTTTAAGTACAAATTCCCAGCAATACCTCACTAGATGTAGAGGTACATACCCCATGTCTCAGCGTTAAGCAATGCCATTTTCAGGTGATGCTGGGTATTTTAGGCTGAAACATTTTCACCTGATACATGGGGCTGGGAATTCTTTCTTCAGTCTGTGCAGAGGTGACTCCTGTTCCTCTTCTGCTATTAAAAATAGGAGTCAAAAATACTCATAAAGATGTGGCAGAAGGAAGGGGGGTATCTAAAAAAATATTATGCTAATTCTGAGTTCTGACAGATTTACATAATCAGCCACAAAACATAAGCAACTGCTCTATTAGTGATAACACTATTTTAATTACTATTTTTCTCTTCACTGACTTGTGAAAGGAGTGATGCTTTTTATGCCAGTGGAAACATGCAACATATTGCTGTTTACTTGTTTGTTCAGATGAAAAAAATCTTATAAAAATAAAATAAATAAAATGAGGCACAGTCGAAATAATCTAGCCAGGGAAATGAAAAAAAAAGATGGGGATTTTCAAGCACATGAAAAGGAAATAGCAATCTCTGTCATGGGGAGATGGAAACAATTTTATTGGGGGGGGGGAATGTTAAAACAACCATATACAATTTGAACAAATACAACATAACACAGTTTGTTCCCCAGGTTTTCTAATTACAGTATTTACAGGTTTAATAAGGCACTGGTTCTCAAAAAAGAACACAAATTAGTTTCTTAGTCTCTACATTGACAACCTTTTCTTTAATAGAAATAACTTTGTGCTAGAGAAAGGATAGCAGTTGCTAGATGGCATCTCTCCTTTTCTTCTCCCACTTACACATGCCATCTCACCTATGCCAGTAAGAAACTAAACTACACTTCCTCGAATGATTTACATTTGAAAAGTGGGTTTCTAGACACGTGGGCACTGAAGCCACAATTATCTGTACCGCTGACTTCCAAGCCCTCATCATTGTGCCCTTTGAAACTACCAAAATATGGAAGTGACATTAAAAGGCCACACCTGGCAAAATGAACATACTAACCTGCAGTGACTGCAGGTGCTGAACCTTAATAATGACACACTGAGTGTTACAGGAAGTCGCCCATGCAGGCATTCTGACTCGAATGTCACAGTGCTGGAACAAAAAAAACCCTCCATACTTGCTTTAGGCTGTTTTTTTTGCCTTAGGAATAGCCCTTCACAATGGATTACAGTGGATAGAAGATTTGAAGGCAAAATCTGGTCTTGGGAGAAAATAGGCAGGCACTAGTTACACAACTGCAGACTCTTTGCTTTCTCAGTGTGTGTCTCCTCATATATATATATATATATATTTATCTATTTTCCTATACAGCACCGTTGCAGTGATTTGTCACTTATGCATTTTCATAAATAAATATTATGTTTTATTTATGCTTTTTCATCCATAATAGTTTACTCTTAATCCACATACTGGAGCTATTCCAGACTTGCAACTGAATATATATATATATATATTTATATCTATAAAAACACATAAACTTGAACATTTAACATACACATTTTATGTGATCATCAACCAGTATCTTACACCCTTTTCTTCTGGACCAAAAAAAAAAAGTAAGATTTGCTCAGGAAATCAATGACTGGCCCTTTCTCTTGCAACATGCTGATGGCAGGTGCCAGGGGCATTCATTGCATGCCTCGTGCTGCCAGCTGGCAAAGCATCCTCCAAAACACTCCCGGGGAGAGAACCCTGCTAACTTAATAAAAAAAATAAAATTGAGGAGGGTAGAGGTGAAACACACCTAAACAGGCAGGAAAGAAGCATCCTTGCTGTGTGACCTGGGACCTGCAGGTCCCGTGAGCTTCTTTGGAGCTGAGAAATCTCGGTTCCACAGGGTGTGCTGGCTTCTATGGGAAGAATGAGACTGGGAACCCATGGCTCCGTTCACTAAGACAAAAAGGTGAAGACAGGCTGGGCTGTCCCCAAGTTGGCCCACAAATCTCAAGGCCAAGGTGGCCAAGGAAAGGAGCAAACTCCGCTCTCAGCCTCACAAACATTTTTTAAGGATGGGGGAACCATCGTCACCCCTCCTGGGGTCAGGATTTAGTGTATTATTAATTCTCAGAGATTTTCTTTTTGTATTGCTTGGTAAATTTGGGTACAGGCAGGGAAACTGCACTGCAGAAAAAGCACTCTGATGAACAAAAAACTTCTGATTAAGCTTTTTAACACCTATCATCATGGAGGTCTTGCTGGTTCTCTTGAACCGTGCATTTTTCTCTGTTAGGTTGAAAGTAGAAAATGGTAATTTTTCCAGCTAGAAATACCTTCAGGGAGCTGTTAAGCTAAACCCCAATTATACACCTACCTACCACAAATAAATCAGTTTTGTCCAAAAAGGGAAAAAAAAAATAGAAACATTACAGAAGTGCTGAGGCTAAATCCTGCATGGCAATTATTTCAGTTCTGAAATAGGCTTAGCATAATCAAAGCAGCATTTGTAAGGACTTATTTCAAAATTAAGCTGAACACCATCCAGTAAAACAACATAGGCAGGCAGGAAATTTTTAAAAAACAAATGAAGGGTAAAAAAGGGTAAACCAGTAACTCCCATGCAGCTCAGCTTTGGTAATCTGACGAAGAACAGAACCTTTCCAAGGAAAACACTTCCCAGGGTATATTTCACCTCTCATTTCCCCTTCTGTAGCATCAGCATTGCTACAACCACTGCAGACCCAGGAAGGAGGAACAGGGGAAGACAGAAAATACATTTCCCACTGTCCTTCTCCCCTGACAGCTCCTCTTGCTGGGAACCACACTGCTACACAGCCCCAGCCTGGCAGCTGAGCCTGGCACGACAGTGCAGCAGCTGCCAGAGGTGTGGAGGCTGCTGGAAGGGCACACAAAAAAATAATGCAGATAAAGCTCAAACCAATCGTTCAGTTTGTGGTGTCTCTCACTACAGCAGAAGTGCCGGAGGCAGGTACCCACTGCTGCCCAGGACTCCCAACTCCCACCTGATGTATCCCACCCTTCCTCCCTGTCATTTCCTACTACAGCCTCAAGGCACCAGGTCTCCTCACACTCAAGAAAAAATGATTGCCAGCCCAGAAAGGGGCCCTTTTGAGGTTTTTCACTTGCCCTTAAAAAGGGAACACCGATTTTATTTTTTTTTTCTCAGCTGTGGTTGTAGATGGACCCCTCACTTTTACACAAAGAGCAAGCTAATAATTCCTTCTCACAAGGAATTTCCTCTTCAACAGTGGTTGTTTGTGGATCCTAGAAGTTTCAAATTAGCCAGCAGATTCAAATGTGCACTGCATTTCCACTCACACACAAAATACTTTATTTTCCAGTGAAGGAAAAGGAAGGAAAAAAAAGCCAAGAAAAAGGGCACTTGTTTATCACCGTGGTACTATTCCCATTAGTTTCCCTGGAAACATGAAGATCTTCTTTAAACCAGTCACACCAAACCATGTTCATACAGCTCCTAACTACCTTAAACGAAGCGTGACCTTCGCTGGGACAGGCCACCCACAGGAATCATGCCACCCACACCAACTGGGATGGCAGGGATGTAACTGGGATCCATCTCTGTACTCTGAGAATCACTTGCACGCACAGGGTTTGGAAAGTTATCTTCACAAACAGGTGGTTTTTAAGGCAGGCTCCATTACAGCTCCTCTGAGCTACACAGATCCACTCACCTTTTTATATTTTTTTTTTTAAGGCTGGAGTGCAATAGTCTTTGGAAATGAAAAAGTTGATTTGCTTTCATTTTCAGCAGTTTCCTCCAATTTTTTTTTAATGTAACAATATACATCTTTTTTACTTCTAACCCAGAAACTTTTATTTTCATAAAATTTAAAGCAGTATCTTTTTAAACAATCAAAATAATAATAATAACAATAATAATAATAAAATAATAAGTGGCTTTCATGGAAAGCAACATGCATAATCTTAAACCAGTTACTAAAACTGTATTTCCCCATGTAAACAAGGGCAGACAAGCCTCTTCAATCTTGCATGTCAAAATTCAGGTGATTTTTTCAATGGATAGTCTCCTCAAAAACTCATAGCTGCTCTTAAGCATGTCTTTTCCACTCAAGGTACTTAGCAAAGACTTTTGATACATCTTCAGGACTTCTGCCTGCAAAAAAAAGTCCAATTCCAGGGGCCTCCAGCAGAGCTGCCTCTGGCAGAGTCAGAGTTTAATGTCCTGGGACTCTGACATTTTGGCAAGCGTTTTCTTGACGCGCAGGGCTGTGAGCCGGGAGGCAGGGCTGTGAGCCCAGCACTCCATCATCAGCTTCCCCATCTGCCGCAGGCACTGCGGAGAGAAGTGGGAGAGAAAGTCCCACCGGGGTCAGTGGAACAGGAGACTGCAGTTGCTGCCAATGCTGAAAAACTGAAGGGAAAAGGTCTTTTCTAAGGGCGGTGCAGTCCCTGAAAGGCATTACAGATAAACACCACCAGCACTGCCTAGACCAGCCAAACACGTTTCATGTAGATTAGCGTATATTTTTATAAATGCATTTTTGGTAATACACAAGCACTATGCAGTAACAAATTGTCCTTTTATTGCTGGAATGCTGGAAGGTGGGATTACCAAGGATGCTAACCAATTAATCAAGAGCTGCTATTGCAATAAGCCTCCCCAATCCTTGACACGTTCGGTAGCAGACCAAACACTGAGTGTCACCACAAAAAAAGCCCTTTTGGGAACTGCTACTCCTTCCTCCAGTGTTTCCACCCCCAGTCTGAAGGTTCAGAGGGATTTGTCTAGGGAGAGGATGAGGCAGGTGAGGTTTGGTTATATCTTTTCACACTGGTTGTTGCACAAGTCCTCAAGCAGCCCAGGGAGGTTGTTTTTTTCCCTCACACTCACAAATCTCATGCCACCTAAATCTTTCATCTCCCCACAGAATATTCATCTACATGCTGCTATTCCCCAACGGCAGCACCAGTGGTAAATATCCTCCTCTCTCAATATGATGCAGAATTGGGTCAATCTCACTCACTAACTGATTAAAAGCACAGACTGCATGCTAAGAGGGATGAGAGGTACCTCGTCACTGCTCCATCTGTTGGGAAACGAGGGGCGTAGTCTCTTGATGCACACGATCTCCCGCATGTCCTCGTACGAGGGGTCGCTGGGCACCAGGTCGTGGTACGGAAGCTGGTATTCCTCAACTATTCCTGAAAGAAGCAATTAGTCGCCTGTCACTTGCAGAAAAAAAACCCTTCCACTCCCCTCTTGCCCTCTCATTTTATAACAGATTGGCCATACTGCCTAACAGTTGGGTGTACTGCCCCTAAAAAGGACTTAGAAGTTTGTTCTGCAACCAAGTTCTAATGCAATCATTGCTGTGTAAAGACTGGCCAGGTGTCTTAATTCAAAAGTGCAGTAACTTGCCAAGTGAGACAATTTCTACCACTGCTGTCCAGTCCAGCAATCTCCAGTCAGTTCTCACAGAAAGAGCTATTAGTTCTGTAGAGTTATCTGAGAGAGAATTAACCTTGAGTAAGGTCTCCTCCTTATCAGTGGACCTGGAAAATACTAAGGGGCATTTCTGTGCCTTTTCAGAATATTGCAAGGTACCATTCTTTGTGCACAGCAACAATGGCAAAAATATTACAGATTTCACCTCACAACATTGCAACACATGCCACCAGCTTTTAAACACAGGGATCCTGCTGCTGACTGGCAACATTCAGCTTCTCTAGGGTGAGCATTCAGCACGATGCTGCAGGATTTGAAGAGCCATAAGGAAAGCTGAAGGTAGCAGAGACCCAAGAGAGACATGCTCTACTCTTACCACCAAACTGGCACAGAACTGCTACCAAGTCATTTCTGTGCATTTAACTTTCCCAGTGGCAAAAGAGAGGCAGCAACACCCATCACTTCTGCACGACACTGAGCTCTACATGCAGAAAGAGGGAAATGAAGCACATCACTGGTATGACAGTGATGTAATTAGTGCCACTTCCCTCCGGGGTTTTGCTACTTGTCTAGTAAACAGATTATTTATTTCAAAGAGTAGAACAGCAAACCCCAAATTGTTTGTCCTCCTCCTTTCATTTAACTCTTAACTAAACTAAGAAATCACTATTTTCTTTCTGCTAAATTAGCTGAACACTGCCAGTCCAGCAGAAACATGATGGCTTTAGAAAAGGTCCCCAAGTGAGTTCCACACTTCCTCAGTGCAGGCATCAGCTGCCTTCAAACAAGCCACTAAAATACAGCCTAAATCTTTGCTGTTGAAATAGCACTGAGTGATGCTTTAAAATAAGTTTCAACAAGAGAACAGATATTAAGAGAGTTACCTGTATGGTTTACCCACATCTGTTTACTACTGTAAAAACAATTACCCGGAGAAAAAGGTGTAATGGAAGGCTCGAGGTTCACTGACACAATTAAAAGTGATCTCCCAGCTCTTTACCTCCTGAAACACATCTCCTTGCTATCTCCCAAAGGATGAGTCCAAAACTGTACATATCAGCCATGATGTAGGACTGAAAGTGATTTCTATTCAAGCTTTCATCCAGCACCTCAGGAGGCATATAACGTTTTGTTCCCACGCGGGTATTTGGAGGGATGTCTACCTCATTTGTATCACTAAAAGAAAAAGAAGGAGAAAAAAAGGGCATCAAACATGCAGTAAAGTGGGTTGAAAATAAAGCAATTTAGGTGGAAGAAGTAGTAAATCCACACCACATCCACATTCAAACAAGGTCAAAAGTAATGCATAATCTTAATGGACAATTCTTGCAAGAAAAGTCTTAGTGTGAAGGAAACCCACCTTAAAAGGCTGACCTGCCTGAGGCTATGTTAAGCATTCAAATGCAGAACCACAACGGAGATAAGACTCAACAGGGATGCTGTAACATTTGTGAGATCTCATTAGCATTAGCCCGAGCTCTAATGTTAGTGATAACAATCAAATCTTCATTAAATGCTGTTTTCTTAACATACTCCACCACCTAATGCTTCAGTCTCAGCAATTAATGGGGGATACTAAGTAGCTGGGGCCGTATCTCTTAGCTGTAGCAAATCATATCTGTAAGACAGATTAATCTAACTATTACATTTTTGCATGCATTATGTTTGATCTCTTCCAACCTTTACACATCAAGATATGCAGACACAGAGAGATAAATGCATAAAAACATCTAAGCAAATGTGTCACACCTCACACACTGACCACAAGAGTCAACATACGGGAAAAAAAATCCCATTAATTATGTGAATGGATTCTTGTTTTTCTTATTAACTCAGATTCAGCTACATCAGTTTCAATATATTTAAAAGTGTAAGATATGGTGTATATTTTGGTTTGCTTTAAAAGGTCTGTTTTCCTTTATTCACCTTCAAAATGTATGTATTTTAAGTATGGTGGATACAAGAGATGCTCACAGAATAATTGTATTTCTGTAGTTTTCTTCATGTACAGCAATTTTTTTTCACCTTCTGATACGAAGAAAAGCTGAGTCTGTGGTACAACAAGTCACCTACACATTCATTAAATCATACATATACTAGTGGCACTAGCAGGGTACACTAGCAGTGTACACCTGCAAGAATGTAACATAAATCCAATGATCTCCACTATCTTACAATATTTCAAATGAAATGGAAACACAAAGAATTTTACTAGAATCACTAGCTTCAGCAGAGCACACTGCTTCCAGCTATTTTCTGTTCCTTGTTGTTGCATGAGAAATGCTGTCTGAGGAAGGATTCAGTATGAAAACAAGCCAAGTACATAACATAAATTCCATCTGGAGTGTGAAAAATCCATATTTCACCTTCTTTTGTAACAGCACTCAGTAATTCCTAGCTCTCCTTCATTCACAGCTAAGCAGTGTGCTGCTCTGTATTTGCCAGGCAAAGTACACCTGCAAAGGGTGAATTTCTGCTCCAAAACTTTTTAACAGTATTTTTTCAAGTTGTTGTTTTCTAGCCCTCTGCTCCTCAAAGTAAAAATATTCCTTTCTTGTCTCCTGAAGAAAGGTCAGGCTCATAAAGGAAATGCCTCACCAAGGAACCCGGTAGGTAAGTGAACGGTAAGAAGAGAATATAAAAACTGCCTTTCCTTTCACTCTGAATAATTTCAGTTGAATATTTGTACAGAATTCCTGAATTTTTTTAATACTCCAGGGAGTGCACAGTTTCAAAGCTGACCTGCAAAATGGAAACCTTCAGTCTATGTATTCTGGACACATTTCTGTGTACAGAAAAATCAGAAACTTCAGAACACGCGCCTCCACCAGCAGGACCACCGCTGAGAGCTCAGGCTGCTTTTGAACAGAGCTGTCAGAGAGCACTGGCCCCTTATGAATCCCAGGAGTAGTGAGTAAGTTCTACATGTCTGCTCTTTCTAAGTTGTTTAAACACACAACCATTTTTTAAAATCAAATTTAAAAGCCATTTCAAAAATCAAATCTGTACTTCGGCAATTTGATTTGTAGGAAATGAAACAAAAGGCAGCCCAAATGGGGTCCTTTTCAATAAATCCTAGTTAGTAACCCGTGCAGATTATTAGTATTTTTCTCTCTAAGTTGAGAGTGAATTTTCATGGGATCAGACAAGCTGAATGCTTCAGTGACAAGCTCAGTGATGTGACTTCAACCTGTCAGTGCTACATCCTTTCATTGTGTGCCAGCAGTACTGGGGCAGCTATGGAGGACGGAGTGATGGAAACTGAACCTTTATACAAACACAGCTAATGTGCTCAGATAATCAAAAAGCAACTGTTTATACACCTGCATGAGGTGCTGACATGACATTCTCCCCCACACAGGTGACCTCACCCACAGATGAGCAGAGCCCAGGTGTGCACCAGCACTGCAGGTGCTTGCTCACACTCGCACACTCAGTCAACAAGTAAGGAAACTTTTGCACCTGATTTATTCACTTCTCCTCAGCCCCCTCACTTCCACTCACCTGATAAATTTAACAGCCAAGCCCAAATCTGCTATACAGCAGGTGCCATTCTTTTTCACCAGGATATTCTTACTCTTTAGGTCACGGTGGGCAATAGCAGGTTTGCCCTGAGTGCTGAAGATCTCAGTGTGCAGGTGGCACAAGCCACTGACAGAGGAGTAAGCCAGTTTCAGCATGGCTTTTGTGTCCAAGGTAGTAGATTTTAGGTAATCATAAAGTGAGCCATTCTCATGGTAGTCAGTGATAAGATACAGCTGGGTCCAAGATCCTGTACCTTTAATATCTGCAGCAATAAACCCTTCAAAAAGAAAGAAAAAAAACAAAAGATTACTTTCAAGTTATTACTTATCAAGGTTTTTTGGTGGGTTTTTTTTTTTTTTTTGGACTGCTCAGAACTCAGAACTGTCATCCATTTCAGCAGGTTTGTTTTAATAACGTATTTAATTATTTTCATCTTACTTCCATACAACTGTGCCTCACCTCTAGCCTTTAATGTACTTTCAGAAACCCAGATATGGATATACCAGTGGTTGAAATAGACATGTTGTGTTTGGAATAACGACCTCCCAACCCTATTATTTTTTTAACTTTTATTTATATTTCAGTAATCCTTTGAACAATTTTCCTTTGAAAAGCACTGGGTGGTTAATTACAGAGCACAGAGGGAAAAAAAGCACATCGAAAGGACATCAGATAACAGCAAATACAAAATTGCTAATCTTAAAAACCTGTTCTCTATCAAATAATTCTCTTTCACTTCACTCACCAAGAATATTTTCATGCCTCATCAGGACAGTCTGGTAGATTTCTGTTTCTCTGAACCAGCTGGCCTCCTCTGTAGTAAAAAACACTTTCACTGCTACCTTTTCGCCACGCCACTTTCCCATCCAGACTTCCCCGTAGCGACCTTTTCCAATCTGCTTCACCATTTGAATCTGTTTTGCAATCGTCCTTTGAACCTGTGAAATGCCAAGGCAGATCTTACACCTTGCTCAGTGGAAATTCCTGCATTCACCTCCCTCCTCCTGTGTCTGCTTCCCGCACAGCCAGCCAGAAGAGAGTGGAATATGCAGCCACTGTGACACGGATTCCAGCAACCCTCCACAATAGCAGATGTTCCCATTTTCTCCAGGACACACTGCTGCCGAGGTCATTCCCACCAATAAAAAGAAGCCTTTCCATGCAAACTCTAGAGATACTGTGATCTCTCAAGAAACTACATCAGTCAGTGTAAAGGAAATGTTTGCCCCTGCACCTTGAATTTTTGTTTTTTTAATTTTTCTGCGGGATGTAGCACTCGGTGTATTCTTTTTTGTTATTTTTGGAAAAGTTTTGACAGACAACACTCCTGGTCACCTCAATGCAGTCCAAATTCCAACACATTTTCATTAATATAGGGATGTTTCTTACACAGTCAACACTGCTGAGATGCAAGGCTAGGGCTCAAAAGAGCCAAAAGCCTCCAAAAAGAGCAAAATTACAAAATTACCATTTTTTTTTTTTTTTAGGATGATACTTCCTACCACCTTCTTTAAAATTGCCATGCCTAATTATTTCAAAATATATATTTGGTTAGGAACCTCAATCACTACTTACAGAGTTAAAACACATGTGCTTACACTGATTTATATAATCATATTTACATATTCATAAAAAGCAATTTCCCCCCTAAAATATTTGAAAGTACAGCTTTGCAGTGTCTGTGCCAGCTTTGTCAGTGGCTTTTACTGTGAGCTAAAATCATGGGTGGGTATTGCAAGATCAATGTCCACGGCAGCATTGCAGACATACTCTTCACAAGGATGACAGACTGCCTCTACATTTAACAAGCTTTTACTGCCTCAAAAAATCTTGGACAAATGGAGACTTATAATCTCATCAGATTCGAGCATGTCTGCAGATCATGTCTTTCTAAAAGTTCACAAATAAAAATGCAAGTGGATGCTGCACCACAACTCACTGGTGTTTGTGGCTGACTCTGCCTCACCCTAATATAACAGGAGATTAAAATGTCACCCTCTTGTGCTACAGCACTGGCAGTCCAACCCACAGCTAATGAGTTTTTGTCTGGTAGGATTTGGTAAGATTTTGAAAGAATATTGCCGCCAATGTGATGAGATTTTCATCTGGCCCAAGCAATTGGCAAAATCTGGACAAGTTCAGATTTGTGGCTTCTTGCTCCATTTTGTCACCATCCAGATGCGAACCCCCAGTAGTTTATTGCAGCAAGTGAATCTAACTGCTCTAACTGAATCCCTATAAAATCATTTTCATTTCATGAAATCAAAAGTATTTTTTCAGTCTTGGCTGACAGAAATGAGCGAAACTTGATTTTTTAAATCATTTGCTTCCTTTGTTGTGCTTGGGAGGTCCAGTGGAACCCATCAGTTTGGGAATGCCAAGCAGGACTGCCATGAATGCACCATGACTGCAGCATGAATGTGCATCCAAAGACAAACTCAAAACCTATTAGGTCAGGTCTACCATCATTCATTTTTTAAGTGAACCACTGGTTTTCATATTGAACAACTTTAAGAAGCAAAACATACAGTGGTATTTATGCAGAGCTATTTCAAGTATCCCAGTTTTCTTCTTCTGTTATTTAAACAGAATTCCATTTTTCCAGCCTGCACTGTATTATTAGATGTTCAAGATGGTAGCTTCAGTGCCATTATTTTTGATTAACATCAATGAAAGCCAACAATAGAGATTAGCCTTAATTTTTAAAATTGATTTATCTTTTATACTCTCATATAGTGATTGAACAATAGTTATATTACACTGGAATTTTGCTGTAACATTTTGTAATATCATTTTAGCATTGTTGCTTTCTATTTTGCCCATTTTAAAAATGCATCCTGAACAATAATTTAGTTACATCAAATAACTTAATTTGTGTAAATATATGTAATGGCATCATAAAGTACATGCAATTACAATACTTAATGATGAAAAGTTCCTTATTAAATTACATTAAGAAAATGAAAAACACATTTCTGTTATGGGTTTTCAGGCGGCAGAATACTATGTGAAAGGCCTTAACCTGGTTTCATCTTGCTAGAACTGGTCAAATGATTTCCTATGTACAATTTATTTTTTTTTAAGGAATTCAGCTCCTTCTTGAATCATAAACCAATTATGATTTCTAAAACAAATAGGTTAATCAAAATTGTTGGCCGAACTGATTTCATAAGAATGTTGAATGATGTGCTCCTGGGAGTTATTTACACTGAGTGGGGCTGGGGGTTTCTTTTTTCTTTTTAAATCCATGTATTTTGCTGCTTGAGCTCTGTAAGCAGTCAGGTAAGGTTACATGACCTTTTCTTTCATCTCCCTGGGTTGAAACAATCCAATTACCAACTATTTCTACTTTCCTGGCATTCAGCTAAACGTGTTCAGCTACTGCAGATGAAAATTTAGACAGACCAACCTTTTGTAAATTTTATATTTTGAACAGAGATTTCATACCTATGGCTCAGATGCAGTCCCTTGAAAGTTCATTGAAAGGAAAATGATGAAAAAAATGTGTGAGAAGGTAGAGACCAAATTGTAGTTCAGCAATCTCTTCAGACAGACCATTTTGCAGGATTTGACCTGCAGCAAACTCTTCTGTCAGAGGTACAGACAGGTCAGGAGAAAGAACTCTTGCTGACTGTCATACTGACAAATTCTTGGCTAATACTTGTTTTGGGTATAATATTTGTGCCCATTATAATAAATGTTCTACACAGAAGAAAAACATTACTGGTTAGCATAAGGTGACATTTTGCATTAAATTTACATCTTACTTTCCCAAAATTATAACCCTGGATATTTCAGTCTTTGCATAAGAAACAAGGTTAAAAATGAGCTCTTGCACAATAAAGGCCAGAGCACTATTGCCAGGCACCTTCTATACATTTGTTTCAGGCCTGGGCCCAGAGGTATCTGTGCATTTCTAGTGACCCACAGTGGTTCTAGCTGTCTGGGAAATGCAGCAAACATCTATGCAAGTGCAAGATCCATTTTCTCCTCTTCCACCCAAAATCACTTCTTATAAAAACAATTGTTTGTGTTTTTTGAAAGCAAGGGGGAGATGGGCGAGAAGAGTTCCTGGAGGAAAAACACTTGGTCCAGTGGCTGCAGAGTCTTCAAGCTTGAGAGGGGTGGACTGACATAAGACTGGATGGTTTCTGCCTCATGGAGCAGTGGCACAGCTCTGAGAGGTGCTGAGCAATGCTCCAGCTCGGATGTCCCCTCTGCCATTACAGCAGCTGAAAAGCAGGAGTTGGTTTTCCCATCCACTGCAAGAGCAGACCTGGGGACACCACTGAGACCACCAATTCCCCCTTCAAACTGCTCACTGGGACAGAGGAAGGCATAAAGAACAAGCAGTCAAAGCCAGAATTGCTCCAGCTTTTTTGGGATACTGGGATGAAGGACTGAGCCATGCTCTGCTGTAAGGGGCCCCAAGGCACCCGCTACCCACATGGGCTGCTGGAAACACATCTTCTCAGAGAAGTACAACCAAGTTCCTTGTATTTACTCTAAATTATTACATTTTTTATGTCATTGGAACAAGTAAAGATGAAGACCTTGATGTGGCAGGTGTTATGAAAAAAAACCAAAACAACAAATCAACCAAACCCCAAAGCAAAAAAGGGGAAGAATCCCTCAATTAAATCAACTGGAAACTCATTAGGAATGGTCCTAAGGTACACACAAGATCTGTCCCTTTCCATGGGTGCTAGAAGGACATTGGTGTGGGATAGGACAGAGCTGTCTTAAAGCCAAGAAAAAACTCAGCCTGTTGCTTCATTCTTAAGGAAATATAAAACTTCTCATTTAGTGTCTTCTTTAGGGTGTTTAAAAAATATGTGTGGGCAAAAACCAGCCAGATAGTACATGGTACTTGGAAGCTGGACAACAACGCAGTATATAATACAAACTAATAGATTTGGAAGACAGGAGGGACACATCCACTCTGAAAAATGAAAAAGGGGTGTTTAAAAAATACGTGTGGGCAAAAACCAGCCAGATAGTACATGGTACTTGGAAGCTGGACAACACCTGCAGTAGCAGCATCAATACAAACTAATAGATTTGCAAGACAGGAGGGACACGTCCACTCTGAAAAACGAAAATTAAATCTTCCAGTTTCTCAGAGGCACTTATTTTAAATAACTAACCTAGCTTTTTTACCAATTCTTTTCTACCAGTGATGATCCCCAGAAACAAAACTATATTGCTACAGAATGTTCTGCCTTTTCAGCAGGCTTAGTAATCCTGGAGTCTGTTCAGAAATAATCACGAACTCCATCCCTGTGCCTTCGAGATTGTCACACTACAAAGAAAAAAAAAAACAAACCCTTGACTTCTGAATGCAAAGTGAAGCCTACAAATAAAAAGGTTCCGTCACACTACAAAGAAAAAAAAAAATCCCCCTTGACTTCTGAATGCAAAGTGATGCCTACAAATAAAAAAGTTCTAAGTCTGACAAGTTACAGTTCCCTTTAGAAAAAGATGACAGGTCAGTGTTTCAAATCCTACTGTGTGTCCTACATACAAAGGAAAAAAACAAGATCAATGGGCCAGGTGCTGTCCAGTACACTGGAGTAAATCCTGATCTACTTCCATGAGCTCTCTTAGTCTGTACTTACCCTATGGTATCTAAAATAAGAAATGAACTGGGGTAGAAAAATAACCCTAACCTTTCTTGACTTAGTTCACATGAAAAAATGTCCCCTGCTTATAAAGCAGCTGTTCTCCCGTTTAACTCCTTGTCATTTCTGGTAGAGAAAAAAACCAACACACCACAAACAAACAAAAAAAAAAAATTAAAACAAAACTGAGGACACGTAGATGTATTTTTTGTGCCTCTTCTCCCTCTACACATTCTTGCCTTTGAAATGTACATTAAAATAGTATTGCTTCCTTACCAGGAGAGGGAGCCCGGAACCGCTCCCTGAGCTCTGGGACTGCTCGATCAAATCCTTCAGGGACTCTCCGGGGGGAATGTAGGTCTCATCCTGCTCCAGCCCGATGCTGTAGTGGGGCCTCGTCTCTTGGCGTTTGTACCTGACGTTTTACACAAAAACAAAATGAGTTTTGAATACAATGAACACGTGTGCAATGAATAACACACGTCCTTCACATTTCCTTCATTTATAGACTAACAGTTTTCTCTGCTTCCCGGAGGAATACACTGGACATGCTGGCTAAAATTTTTTATTTTATTTTTAGCAACTGTTTTCAGCATCAAAATTCTAAAAATATAACACTCACAGGCCATGCAGTCTGGGGTAAATTTGCAAAGCAACCAAATGTTTTCCTTTCAGAAACTTAAATATGTCTAAAACACTAACCAAGGAAGTAACTTTATTTTACTGTCTGCAGTGCATTTCTAGGAGCCAGAGGAGGTAAGGTCATGGAATCTGGGAATATTTAAAAAACGTGTCAAATTATTAAAATGTAAAGTATGTAGATTATGATAACACTCTAGACACATTTACTGACATTCCTGTACTGTCTTCTTTCTTTATGATCAGCTCTTCATCACATAAACAAATTTAGAAGTCTTAGATATACTTCCCTTACAAAAATTTCCCTATAAAATTTGTCCTTTAGCCTTCTCAGTAAAGAATTACCTGTGTTTCTACCTGAATGGCTTTTAAGGATATTGTGTGAAAGATTCTGTATTAAATCCATCACACAGGTACACACGTGAATAGCTTCAATAAAATACACATTTTTTTCTCATAATAAAATTAGAGTTTTTCCTTTATTTTCTTTAAGGTCCACTTCTATTTTTTTCATTTTCCTAAATCCATAAAAAGATAAATGTTGGGAGGCACATTAACAAGCTGCCAAAATATTCCTTATTTACCTGAAGTAGCAGAATATGATGATAAGCACCAGAAGGATGCTGCAAACAGTCACTGAGATCAGCAGGGCCTTGTGGTGAATGTTTCCTTCAGCAAAGTCTGGGGTTAAAAATGAGAAAGGTGGAAAATTTAGAAAGGGAGATGGTATGAAGTCAAGGTCAGAAGCGCATTGAGCATAGGATCATTTCCACTATTTCCTTGTAATTCCTGTACAGGATACCCCCTGGATTCCCCAGGCATTTTGTGGGCTTCCTCTCTGACCCTCACTGACCAGGACAGAATCGACACTTGCATTTTGTTAAAAAAACCTGTTTGTTTTCTCAGTCCTCACTCAGGCAAAACATTGCCTTGATTAGCAATTCCCTGTTTGTCTCTGAATGAAAATCAATCAAGACCTGTAGCTCTGAGTCTTAACCTGAGTGATTAGCCAGGAAATGCAAAAATCACTGCCTTTTTTAAACACTCAGATTAAGTAGCATCCTAATCAGTAATTAAAAAACCAAACCAAACCAAACCACCCACCAAACTGCATTTATTTCACAAGGGAAGACATAGCAGACCATTCAACCTCCGAAAAGACAGGCCATGAGAGGCCTTGAAAGTGTATTATTTCCATCATTACAGAAAAATTTGTCTCTTAGATCCTGTTTTAAACATTTGAGCAAGAATTTTCTCCTCTATCTGCTCTATAGCAGCCCTGTGTGCCAGCAAGTGCTTCCTATGCTGGTGGGCAAAACTATCCTTCCAGTGGCTTTTCTGCAAAACATTTAAAAAATAAAATGTGTGAAGCAACTTGTAGAAAATGCTGTTGCATAAAAACTATTAAAATGTTTCAGTCAACCTTTGTATAGGAGACTCATATTCTCCTTTAAAGTATAACATTAATCTCCAAATTTGAATTCTCAGCTCAGGCAAGTGAGTCTGACCTTCATGCATGCTTCTCTGCTGAAAAACAAAGACACCCAGCTCTCTTCTTTTTTAACCTCCCCTGCCACTCAAACTGTCAAAATTATAGTATTTCAGCCTGCACATACACAAACCACCCTTCCAATAACATGGGATAATGCAAATGAGTACCATGTTTTCTGAAGCTCTCCCAGCCTTGCTGTCTTGCATCCTTCACTCCAATGCCTGACACATCGGAGAATGCAAGAAATCTATCCTTATTGACTGGTGCTGGAATGGCGTTATTATGTTTCAGATTTACAAGGGTAATGAGACCAGGAGGTTCCTAAGGGACTCTTCGTTTACTCTCAGACTCTTTTATTTTCAAGATCCAGTTTCTCCTTTTTTCTTTTTTTTTTTTTTTCTCCCAAACAATTTCTTTCCTTGCCCTTTCCACTACACACAGAGATTACCTACCAACACACCTCCTGATCACACTGGTCATGTTTTAACCTGCCACTGCCTGCTCTGGGAGCACTGACAATGTAAACATTCAGGACATGGCTGATACCTTTGAAAGGGGACACTGACACGATGTCTATCAGGAAAACCCTCGAGCCCATCCTTCTGCCTGCCACAGCAGATTTATCCATGGTCTGCCATTCCAAGTGGGCTGTGGGTCGAAACCGAGAGCCCACTGGGGAATCCAGAGCTCTTGTGAAGGCGATGGCAGCTAAGCAGGACTGGGGCTCTGGTTTGTGCTTTGTGAGCAGCCTGTGTCAGCACCACTTCCCTCTAAAATGTGTGGGTTGTAACAGCTTCAGATGTCGCAGCCCATCAGATGAATAAGCAGAGCATAGAGACCATAAAGCGGCATTTCACACGTGGAGAAACCCGGATACCCACCCACAGCAAAGGTTCTCCCACTTCACAGAGTACAATGTGATGGAAGCTGAGCTTCTGTGCTTAGCAGTGATGAAAACTGATGTCAGGTGGAGAGGGAACAATTCAGATCTTACACTTGTGTCGGCTAGATGTTAAAGCCATGGAAATCTGTGCATTTTTGCAGACACAGTTTTGTCCATGAAGTTGTTCATGCTGTCTGTGCATGTTCAAGTATGTACATTTGGAGAGAGATTATAAATATGCTGAAATCTTGAATCAAATTCCCACAATTTTTAGGGTTTAAGTGATCCAAACCTTATGTTCAATGTTTCTAATGGGCTTCTGCCATTCAGAAAAACAAATAAATGCAGTTTGGTTTTCCCAGAGGCCAGAAGGCATTTTGGAAGTGCTGTGTAGCTCTCAGATGAACTTCAGGCTCCAACACTGCAAAATTCTTTGGGTGCCCAAATGCAATTATGTGAAGCAAGTGTAAGGAAAGCTTGAAAGACACAAAGGAACGTGTCCTGATCTCCTTGCTGGGAGCAGGAAACAAGACTGACCAGATGCAGGGCTGACCCTCTTGTGGTGGATGGTGTCCTCATGCCAACAGGGGCACAGCTTTAGCAGTGGTTCACTGTGCACAGCACAGGCATGCAACTGACTCTCACAGGAGGGAGTAAGTTCTATGCCTTTCTATTTATTTGGCTATTTGAGAGGCAATACTGATGGTAAGTGAGCTATTGTCCCACCTTTCAAACACTTCCTGTGTTTTTAAAGCATTTTGGCAGGATTTCATTTGCTGCCTAACTTGAGGACTTCATAAACCTGCTGGTGTGCGTGTGAACAACACAAGATTAAATGCAAGCCCCCATCCTTACACCAGCAGTGTCTGTTTGTTCTGCTGCACTGAGCCAGGCTGGATTTCTTCTCCTGCCCCTCCAGCCCAGGCTGTTCCCAACAGAGCAGCAGGACAAACCTCCCTTTCCCTACACTATTTGACCCGGAGGAGGGATGGGGCAGCCCAGCCATGAGTCTGCCTAAGGACTTGCTTGTGGGCACTGTGGTGAACACTGTGGTGGGTCCTGGTCAGTGCCAGTTTACACGATGGAGGTACTCTGTCCTTTAAGAAGTCCAGCGCTGTGTTTTTGACTGCTGTGTTACTTGGAACTGCAAGGTGCCAAGCAGCAGGGTTATGAGAATAAGCAGCAGCTTCCACGGAGGAGCAGTGAGCGATTACCAGGAGCATGGTGCGGGAAGTGCAAAACAAACTCACGGTAGGTTTGGGAAGCTTCTTCACATACCTTGGCTGGCTGATAACAGTGCAGCCCAGCAAACAGCACATTAACAGCTCCATGCTGTAGGAAAACAGTGGTGCAGGCTGGTGCAGGAGGGAGCTCGGTGAGACCAAGCTGCAGTTTCCCCCTCCTCCACTACCACTCATTTCACTCACTGTCATCAGCGGGACCATGCTGAGGAGTGCATTGAAAATGCCACCCATAAGGTTCAGAAGTCAGCATATCAAAGGGAGAGGAGGTTCTCCTCCCACCCCAGGTCCCTCCAGCTCAGAATGTTACAGCTATCCAAGTAAAAACGGCAGTGAAATCTGAGGCGTGGAGACTGTGTGCACACATCAAACCCCATCATTCCTCCAATCATTCCCTTGCCCATTCATCACTAGCTATACAGGCAGGGAGCCAGACACGGTGGCACCACCACTTCTGCTTATATAGGCTCTAAATCAGTAAAGACATATTTCTCCTTTTGACTGGTCTCAGCCTGTGCTTTCGCTGGGATTTCCAGGAATATCTTTTATTGTTTAAAGCAGAGGTGTTGTATCAGACCCAATTATGACTTTCATTTCCTTAATAAGACAGATGTATAGCTGGCACAAGGGTTTAATGGTTTCTCTGGGATATTTTATCCTGCTAGTTCTGTACCAAGATGAGCTCAAAACTTAGGCTTAGCTGTTGTTTCTTCCATCTTACTTAACAAGTTTTGCTTTGACCAGTGTTAATTTTTCTAGCTCTCACTTTCATATATGTGGTCCTCCTTTCTTTCCGGGGGGGAGAGGAGAAGGATAGGGTGTGGCGTAAATCTTGCCTTGCTGCACAAGCCAGGCCTGGAAAAGCACTTAGACAGCACAAGTCACTTGCCTTTGCAGCTGTTACCTTGGTGCACGGGTCAGTTTTGAGTTCAACAGCCTCTGCCCTGCAGCTGCATGCTCTCCCTAGACTTTGCTTCCCATGAGGTATCACCTCAGATGTGAGCTCATCAGAAGCCAAATTTCTGTTTGGTTTTTAGATGCTGAGGAGCACGTGTATCTTTCATGGAACCCTGAAGGCCAGAAGGTTATTTCAAGAAGCTTGTTTTTAAGTTCACCTCTCTTTCTTGGTACTTACAGTTTATGTTAAATTTGATATACAATTCTAACATTACTCAGACAATCACAAACTAATCTAAATGCTTCCAGGAGAAACAATGATCACAGCCACAGTACTGGGCACTGGCAGTAGCATGTATTTGTACACAGATTTTTTACCTATTTGCAGTGAGGGCCTGTGGTTCCGACTTTTTTTTTTTTTTTTCCCCTGAGGTTTCATACTAGGATACAGCAGCAACAAATTCAAACAGGCCTGGCAATGAGAATGACATATTAACCTAAGGCTTTAATAAAGGTGGTGACTTCAGCCCTGTTCAGCCAAATGTATTCAAGCAGTTCCTGAAATGCATTTCTACAAAACACTGTCAGGATGCTGGCAGTGTGAGAGCTTATTTTTAAAAAAATAATAATATTGAGTACGTTGGGTGACTACATCACCTTTTGTCTATCATGCTAAAATAGTCAATTTTGCATCACAGAACAGCTAGAACCCTTCTCCAGCTTGCTGAAATTTTTCTTTTACAAAATATTCTCTCTGCCACCACGGTTCCTAAGTGATACTTTGTTTACCTTATATACACGCAGGACAAACCGAACATCAATCCAAGCACCTTCTGCCAGTACCAAAATCTTGGTTCATTGCTTTCTTTATAAGTAGCAGATAGCATTGCCAAATAACTAAAATCTTAATAGATGGATGTCTAGCATTAAGCTCTGATTCAGTATTTTTGAGTAGTCCTAATGTAGAATAAACTCAGCAAGTAGCAAGAAGAAATCATGGCAGTGTTTTCCAAAGTGATATTTAATGAAAGACTAAGTAAGTGTGAACAAATATTGACTGCTTTTTGGAGCTTCTCTCTCAGTCCAAAGAATTTTTAAAATTAAATAAACCAACAAAGTTGTACATAACTCTTCTGCTGGAAGTCAGAATTTTATGAGGTTTTAATGCCTCAATGCCTTGCTAGTAAACAGTGAAGTATTTACACACTACTCTCCAAAGACCTGACTTTGCAGCCCATCTGTGCAGAATTTCACAGGCCTGAAGGGAACAGCTTACATGAGTGAAGGCTTTCTGTGAGCATGCATTCGTGTAAGTATCTGCTGTTGGTGAAATTAAGAGTGCATCTGTGCACCGATCTGGATCTTCAACACAGAACACCACGACTATAAATGCTTCTGCAACCCTGAACTGACTCGATGCTGACTACCACAATTCCTGCCAATGCCAAGAGTTTGTTAGGGATGAATTTACACTTAGGAATACACTTCTATAAAATTTATTCTGAACACCAGACAAAAATAGTTTTACCAGCTTTCATGAAGTGATGTTTAAACAAGCGAAAATGCTAAAACCTTGCCTCAGCATCTACTAAGTTAATACATGCCCATTTGCTCTTGAGAATTATTTTTTTTGATTGTGTGAGTTCTTACCCTACATACTTTTTTCAGCTACACTGTTCACATAAAGATACACTTCAGTTAGTCATTATTGTCCTAGTGCTGGATGATCAGGTCTTGCAAATAAGAAAAACTTCTGGACTTGTGTCAACTTGAACTGACCAATTTGTGTGTGGAGTTATGAATGAGAGTAATGCATGTTACAGGGACAGGAGAGAGGATTCCATTTTAGGTCTTTGGGATGATCTCTGATAGCTCAGCAAGTCCGTACTAGGACAGCATCATGCAACTCTAATGCATCTCGTGTTCGCTGCATGTGTGCAGCAGAAATAACAGCAAGCATCAGCACCACTCCACACACAACCTGCAGGAATGGAGAAATACTGTTTAATGCCATTTATGTCTCTAATCACGTGCTTTTGGATGAGGGTGCTTCAGTCTGTGCTCTATTTTTCCCTAAGGCACAAGGACCAGCAGCAGGAAAAGATCAGTTTAGGGCTGCATTTCGTTCCCTTACCTCGATTCTTCAGTGGTGGCAGCGTAGGGTGAAGGTGTCTGTTACAGTAATCTTGGCCTGTGCAACATTCAATAGATCTTCTTTGGTGTGGAATAGGAGTGTCCTGCAACAAGCAATTTAAATGGAAAGCAAGTCATTACCTGTGTTGTAAATATACACAAGTCATTCTGGCACTTGAAAGATGTGCTTGCTAGCTGGACTGCAACCTGCTACAGATTCCTAGGATGTGTGGAGTAAGGATTTCTGCCAACCAGCGTATCCAGCAATATTTCATCCAGGTAATTAAGACATTAATTCACTCCAAACTTACTCCTGTTGGTACCTTAATGCTACAGAAGGGACTGACTTTCTCTAATGGCGCAAGTCAGAAGTGTGAAAGTCACACACATCCATCAGTCAGACCAAAAATGAGTTAATACAGGTATCCAAAACAGGTTAGCCAGGATAATACAGGAATTGCTGTGTGGACTAATTTAGCTGCAGCTGCTGGTCTTGTGGGAAGCTGAATACAATATTTTCCATTAGCCATAATGATGAAACCATTCTTGTACTCATCTAAAACCATTTAAGGTTAATGTGAGGAAAGGTAACCACCTTAGAACCACATTGATCCACTTCCCATACTCCTTCCATTCCTGCAGTGATACTTGCTTTCCATCAGGTGATCACTGTACTTGAAGGGAATATCTGGCACCAAAAATCCCAAACCAAAGTGCAACTGCATGTAAGACACTGATGTTGCTGCAGTCCATCAAATAATATCCTAACCAACTTTAGCTAGCATGGAGATTTGAGGAGTTAAGACTGCAATTCTCTAAATCTAAACTTCCTCTGAGTGGGAATGTTACTAGTAGCAGCAGTGCCAAAACCAGAACCAAGAGATGTTATTATAAAGAGTATTAGGAGGATTTTGGGGATACAAATGTACTCCCCTCAGTTATCAATGCAGATCAACTATCTGCCAAAGGAACAGAAGTGGAAAACATGGACACAGCAATGTCTGCTGACATCACTTTAATTGAAAACTATCAAAAATTCAAGTGACACCGTGGCAGAAAATGCTTCCTCACCCGACACTGGAAGTCTGAGCCTTCTAATCCAAGACATCCCTTGGTGACTAAATGGCCACCGGACTCATCCTCTTCTATTATGGTGAAGCAGTAGCCATCAGTGCTGTGGATTGGAAAGAATGAATCAGGAAAAGTCACTGAAATGTGAAAAGCGAAAAATGTGCTGCTGAATGTTGTCTTAAACTTTGCTCCTTGCCAGGCAAATCTGCCACTCACAAATGGACACAGCGGGGCTGCTGCAGGCCAGCTCCTGCACACACAAAGGAGGCTCTGCACTTACCTTTGCAACATTTCACAGCCTAAACCTCACTAACAAGCACCCCAGCTCCCTGCCTGTGGTCATTAGTGTCTTAACACTTTGGCAACCTATACAGTGCAAGCTTCAGTGCTACACAAGGTCTGCCTTGAGTGCAGGAACAAGGCACCAATGCTTGCACCGCGGCACAGACGTGAAGAAAGAAACACTTCTGAGATACTAAATGTAAAATATTACCAAGAGTGATTTGTGATTCCTGTTTTAACCATGTTATGAACTGCAACACTCCTGTGCATGAGTCCTTGAGTTATCATCAACACCCTTCATAGATGTTTACTTGGGTTATAAGCCTGAAGTGATCCATAATGCTTCCGTTTACAGGAACGTGCACCAGGGAGGGCAAATATACTAACAGATGGCTAGATGGTGCTGGTGATAAATGTCCTTCCTTGATGAAGGTTATGGAAATGAATACTATGGAAAGAGGGAGTGGAAGGCATGGAAAGGGTGGCTGCATTTTATTGAGACTGCTGTACCTTAAGTTCTCAGCACTCTGATGGGGATACGTAACGTGTAAGAAACAAAAACTGACTGGCTTGCAGGAAGAAGATACAAAAATAAAGGAAAAAACTCTTTAATATAAGGCATTTAAGTCACAGAAAAATAAAATATTCTGTAATTTGCTCAGGAAAATAACACTGGCTATTATATGCAATGAGTATTTTTCAGAAGAGAAAAAACCAAACTCAGTTAAAATAAGGAAATAAAAAGAAAAAAAGATTAGAAAACTTAAATACAGCAAAAATTCAGATGATTTGCTCCTTACTTGAAACAAGAGTCTAAAGAGCACCAGCAGCAAAGGCAATGAAGATGTAGGAAACAAGAGCCACAGTTACACATTTAAGAGACAAACACAATTTGTAAGTATTAGCTACACAACCAAGAGATGCTGCAGAGGATCACGTCAAACATTTTCTGTGGCATATTTTTATATTAGTGGGGCAGGGTCTAGCCATGATAAGCTTATTACTTCAAATAACAATCTGTCATGGGTTACTGACTTCTGGATCTGAAAAGTAACCAACTGCACGTTACAAATTACTTTTTCAGGGAAGCCAGCAATGATTTCCACCCTTCTTTGGCATTCTACATAGCAGTGAGGCAAAAGAGACAGCAACCCTTCTGGGCAACAACCACCTTGATGTCATTGCTTGAGCTGAAAAGATAGGAACAATAGGATTGCCAAGAGAGACTGTAAGGAATCCATTAGAGAAGAATATTATATTAGATTTTATTTGTTTGCATGGTGCCTTTGATTCAAAATAATGAGTAAGTTTAACCCAGGGGACAGAGCAACAAAACAATAAATTGCTATCAAGTGAAACACAAAAATGGACTCCACAGTTAACAGGCCCCAGCAAAAAACCCAAAACTCATAACTCGTGGTCCATCAAAGAAAAGCAGGGGAAGGAAAAGTCAAATTGTTTCCAAAAGGGACAAAAAGAAACAGACAGTCAGCCTTCTCAATTCTATTTTTCTGACTTGTCAGGTGGGACTCTGATTCTTAGCTCACTTATGAAAATTAAAGTCAGGCTCCTCGTGAACTTTAGTCCCTCTAAAAATTTTACTCCAAATTTAAAAAGAAAAAATAAGATTGGGTAGAGCAAAACAAAAATGTTATAAAGCTGTAACAATAAGTCTAAACCATACTTTTTACAGATGTTAGAATAATGAAGGAGAAGTGAGAGAGAAAAATAGCATTGCTGAGCAGAATAAACACTGCTACTACTTGTTTCTACCTCTAAGGAAAAAAAATAAAATCAAACAACAAAAAGCTTTCATGCAATGTAAGAACTCATTATCTTTTTGAGAATTTCTGAGGCGCTTGGGTGAGAGGGAGAAGGGACTCTTCTGAAAAGCGAAAAGGATGTCCTACCTGCTTCCCCCCCTCACCCCAACCTGTTCTCCTGGTTCACAGATGTCAAATGGACCACACACTGCAAGAAAAAGGGCAGGGCACACCCCTGCTGTTTTATTGATTTCCCCACCTCACATCTGACTAGGGTAGAAATAAAACTTACTAATACAGCCAGTAAGAAACAAGTCACAGATGTGTGCACAGTCTCAAATTTTATGCTTATTTTGGTGACTACAGAAAGAGAAACATCTGTACATCACTGATACTTGCAAAGCAATATGGAAAACCTATTCTCCACTTCCTAGAAAAAAAACCTGTAGTATAGAACTGCTATTTTCTTAAAATCTGCAATGTGAATTCTAATTTTGTGTAATCTGATTCTGCAAATGGTGTGTAAAGAAGGAGTTCAGGCTGGATACATCTGGGTACACATCCAGTAACCTCCAATGAAGCACCATCTTATTAAAGTATGGTTCAGGGGAGTGATTAAACAACTTTGGATGTGAGCACTAATAAGCACAGACTTGCCATGTCACATATTTGCCAAGAGTGAATTCTTACAGCCCAGTCAAATGCCAGAAAAACAAAGGGAGTTATCAGCAAAACACTGACAGACACTGATATAGAAGGTGCTGCTACAATCACAGATTACCACAAAGAAAACAGGGATCTTAACTCAGACCTTTCCTAAACGTCACAAGAGAGGAACCAGGGCCAACAGCTTTGCATCTGCTCACACAGATGTCCCCACTGGCCAGCAGCCACTTCTCACAGAAGATGTGCTTCCTCAGCTACCAAAACCTGCCTGCTGGAGATTTCCCACCTGGCTCTGTGAGTGTGTGACGCAGCCAGGGATGGCAATACACAGCTTTGAAAAGCAACATCTTTCCCTCATTCAATGCCTATCACAAAGAGACAGGTAACTTCCATAATTTGATGAACAGATTCCTTATCTTTAATTTGATTTCAAATGCTTCCATACAAGTATTATTACTTTTTTCCACTCCTCCTCTTTATATTCCTCATTTTGATACCAGAAAGAGCAAGAGCATTTTTTCACTTCCATCCAAAGCAACATGACAAGTTTCTGCACTCTTTTTAAAATTATTAAAAAACTTCCTGTATAAAGGAGGAAATTTCAAAATAAACATAAACATTGAAGAATTGAAAGGCTAACATTTAAGATATCACCATAGCTCCTTTATCAGAAAACGTTCAGCTTTTCCCTAAAAATTAAAGTTGATTAAAACAAAAGTAGTCTGGACTTGGTGCTTTGGCCACTGTCAAAGTCTTTTTTCTTCTACATACCAAATTACAAAGAAAACTCAAGCATATCATCTGGAGAGCAGGAGAATTAAAATAACATCACTGAAGCGAGTTATCACCTTTGGTAACAATGAAAAAGCAACTTAATTATTTTATTGCTTTAGATAACCAAAGACATGGTCAGGCAGAAATACAATCTAGTAGGCAACACATAGGAACTTAAACTTTATCAGCCCAATCTTTAAAACTGTCAGCATTTATTTGTGCATGAAAATAGAGTGTGACAAGGCACCTAATTAGCCTCTGCCTTTACTGCAATCCCATTACAGTCAAAGCCAATTAATCGTAACACCATGTTTTAAAATATGCAATTAATTATGATCAGACACAACTGTCCGTGCATTCACTTTGAATGCAGAAAACTTGAAATGGAACAGCAAAACAAGGTCCTGGTTGTGTTCAAAGCAGCTTTGACCTTCTTTACTGAAAGCCTTTCATGAATTGCACAGATGTTCAGAAAGAAGAATAAAGTTTCAGCATGCAGCAGTTTAACACACCCTTTGCAAGCAGAGGATTGTGAGCCTTCTCCAAAGGTTTTATCTGTCAAAGCCTTGAGTGCACTAATATTTTTCAACTGCCCAGACTGGCCCCACTTCTGACTCTTCTTTCCACCTACCCAGAACCCCAGAGCAGTGGTACAGGAGTGCCTGTCTCCAGCCATGGGAAGGGCTATTGAAGGAACTGTCTCTGCCACTGTGTTCACATATCCATGGGGAAATGGGGTCCCGGTGAGTGAGGATATCAGCCTTAGCTCCTGGCTTGGTCCCCTTTTGCTACACTTTGGCGTTAACCCTCCCTTGATGAGCTCACCCTGCAATGGGTCTTCCAAAACTTCACTGTGCTCACAGACTGCTCCATTTTTTAAAGCACACTCTAACTAGAGCTATGGCTTTCTGCTTAGATAGAAAAGCATTCTGCCTTTTAGGCTGCAGTGTTATCCTTAGCTCTCCAAAGTATCGTTAGACCTAAACTTCAGAAGTATAAAGAAAGAGAAATTCTGTACAGGAACACAGCAGCTGTTGCAGGATTTGATGTAGATGTGGTTAAAGAATACTGGCTTTTAAATTTCTACAAATACAATTATGGAGAGGATTTCAAATGGCCACCAGATGTCCTCATTTTTATAGAAACATTCAGACCCCTGGTACTATGGGCTAGATATATATTTTAAAGCTGAATACCTGTGGTAGCAGATAAAAATCTTCAAGTGAGATGACAGACTGCTTTTTATGAGAAAATTTTAATGGTGATTGCAATAAGACTAGCTATTCTATTCTGAGAGTTTTAATTTAAACATAGCTGGAAATACTTTTGTATTGAACTTTCAGAGGTTCTTGCTCCTGGGCTCATAAAATTCGTCACTGCTTCAGCAAGAACCCTCGTAAGTACATAGGCTGATGCTCTCCAGAGCCCAAGCCCTGGCTGTGGATGTACTCAGTGAATTTGCTGGGTGTCAGAGCTTTGCCAGGCCCTTGGGTGCCCCAGAACACTCTGGCTCATTCCTGGTGGACTGGCAGGTCCAAACGCTGAAGGTCCAAGCACAGCCCAAAGCTTAACAGATTGATAGAGCTGACAAGAGGTTTGATTTTTACATTTTTCTTAAAAATATAAAATACAAAAGGCTTTTAGTGGCTACATCTGAGGCAAGCAGATAATTAATGCAGTAACTTTTAATCTGAAGCATTCCATTTATTCTTCAGACAAACACTGCAATTGATACTTCTTGAACTTCCAAATGGGGTAACTTCCTCTATAGTGACACTCAGTGATTCCCTGAGTGCTTTGAAATTGTGCCAACAGTCATTCACACAGGATAAAATACGAAAGTTACTGCCTGACTAGTAGGATGATTCCAAAACTCAGGGGAAATAATCCCTACTAACCTGGTTGGTGCTCAAATATTTTGAAACTTTGTCTCTATCCAGCCAGCTAACCAGATACCTAATAATCAGCTAACCAGACACCTAATAACCCCTCTTTCACAACAGAAGGCTCAGGATCTTATTTTCTCTGTAATTCATAACTCCAGCTATGTAGTAGGGAATTTAAAAAAAGAATTATTACACTAACAGTTAAATAGATGCAGGGAAAACAAGGGGTGTTGAGTCCTTCACACCTCACTGCAGCTCTCACACCTAGACAGTGGAGCCATAGCAGTGATCACTATCATGAACATGATTACTGCTGACAAGCCATGAAGGCAGTGCATTTAAATGAATTTAATTTGTTTTACATTACTGCAAACTCCTCAGCAATTTTTCACTTATGCTGCTGCTCACTGGGCAAGTGGCAAGGCAGGTACTGCTCAGATGACAGCACAGGGCAGGGGAGAGGAGTTGATCTAAAACAAGTCTCCTGATTGTTCCAGGAAACTCCTGACTGGGCAGAAAAGTGATTAATATTTGATGGATATATTCCAGCTTCAATTATTATTTTGATGTTGAAATTGGAAAAAATCATTCTGGCAATAAAGGAGAACATTCAAGCCTGAAGTCTTCAAGGATTATGAAGACAAAAGGGGTTACAATTTTGTGTTTTATTACCACTTAACTGCCTATCCTTGGGCATTAACACCTAAAAAAAAGTTTGACATTTGACACTGTAAAGGAAACTCTGAAGAGAGTTTCTTTAAACTACTGCAGTGAGGGAGAATGCACAAATCCATTCTAACAGGACATTCACTCATAGCTCCATGAAAAATCCTTCATGTCAATGATGCCTACAAAGCGACATGCAAAAGCAAGCCTACCCAGCTGGGGAATAAATCTTGTTCAGTCAGCTCTTTAACATTGATCTCTTTGTGCTTCCTAATTCATGGATTTAAAAGTCATCTGCAAGTTCCCTGTTGCTGCATGTGTGAGACAGCACATTGCAAAGCTCTGGCTCTTGCTGGGCAGGAACAGGAAACAGCTGATTGACGCTGCAGGGGATCAGCAAATTGGTATCAGAGTGGGGTTTTATAGCTTTTTAAACTGACTGTCATGTGAGAGCAGTTAGGTCTAACTCCTGGCTGGAGCATGGGCTTGTAGGAAGAGGTCAGGAAGGAGAAATGGTATTTACAGCTGTCACCAGAACTTCGATACGTTTTAGTAGGAAACTGCGGGCTAAGAATAAAGTCAGGCTGTAAATCCACACTCGAAAATCCAACAAAGCAATCACTATCTTCAGCAATCTTAGGCTTTCCCCATTTATCTTTTAAATAGGCTGCCTTGAAGAGCTGACACAGCATTAGACAATCTCACCTCAAACAGCACCACACCTCCAGCTGGGCTCACATCCGTGCCCTGCTTCGATGCCTCTCTGACTCCCACAGCTGCATCAGGCTATTGGCTGAGAGTTGGTATCTCCAGTATCACACCTGCTTCTACCCAAGCAGAGAAGTTTAAATCCCTCATACGGAACACGAAGAGCTCAGCCCAGCTGTGCTGCAGCTAAAGCAAACTGTACCTGCACCTCAAGCCACGACAGAGGTTCATTCAACCCTCACTCAACCTTCACTCAACAGCAGTTGCATGTGTCCAGCAAGAGCTGCTTTTGGGAAGGGGAACAGCAGCTTGGTCCTCCCACAGGTACCCTCAGTCACCTCTGCCTGCTTCAGCCAGAGCCAGTGCACCACACACCAGTGCTGAGCCTTCAAGGAGATTGTGCACATCTGGACCTGCCTCTCCCCCAGGGAGCCAAAAGGCCCTGAGGAAGCAGAATCCAACCCAGAAAGAGAAATCTGTACTACTCTAAGGCCAAAATTAAACAGAAGGCTACAGCTAGTAGATAAAAATACTCAACGCTTCATCTCAAGATAGTTTCCTTTTAGCATAAAAACACAAAAAAAAAAAAAAAACAAACCCAAAGCCTTAAGGACTTACAGCTGCTGTAGACACAAACAAAGACCAGGGTTCTTATAAATAGTATTCTATTGAGAGTGATTATTAATTTATAAGCATTTATTGACATTTCAATATATCTCTATTAGGTCTCCTCTCATTAACTGCATGCTCCTTTAAAAACAAAGTTCAACCTTCAGAATATTCCATATGCAATGTATTAAAACAAGTATTATGTAAAGTGATAAATATGTGTATGCCCTAAGAAAACAAAGCAACAAGAAACAACAACCATGCAGCTGATATTGAGGTAAAAATTACTTCTGATTTTTAGACAGAGTGAAAACCAACTCATTTACATATCACTGCTTAAACAAAGTGTATTTTCCCATATATCATCACCAGATATCTATCCTACAAACCTGCAGGTGTTGTTGACCGAGTCCTCAGGGCAGTGGTGGTGACACTGGCAGGAGAGCTTCTTCTGGGGAGGAGCAGGGGCTGTACTCTCACCATCTTTTCTGGTCTCCATGCTCAGCTTGCCAGAACTTCTCAAGGCCATGTTGTCTAGAAAACTGGCTGTAAGAGAGGAAGAAAAAGAAACAGTTCTAGGCTGTATTGCAATAGTTGAAATGAAGGCTTTAAACTACTTCTACCTATCAAAATTTAAGAAAGTTATTTGAAATGAGCATTCACTACAGACTGATTTTCTGTAGTTTGAAATGATCACCATGGTTGAGGATTATTGGACCTCGGTGGTATTAGATCAAAGGTACTGATGTTTGAGCTCTGCCACTGCCAAGAGATATATTGTGCTTTTATTATTATATATTGCACAGTACAGCTTTTCTTCTATTGCATTACACAGGTCAAATCCCTGCTTACACCTTTGAGTTTTCTTTATCTCTACAGAACTCAGCACAGATCTACATTCACTGAACCCCATAAAAATCAGTGGGATTTATGGTACTCCAGACAGAACAGAACATGGGCATGCAATTTAACAAAGTCTTAACAGAAACTGATGTTCTTTCAAGTTCAAAAGCATGTTCTGTCACTGCATTGCAAAAGCACTGCTTTGGAAAACAAGGGAAAGAGCTCATTTCTGTAAAAGAAAAGTCTATAAACAAAGTAAAAGAGAAGAATGTGGTTTCGGATGAACAATGCTGAAATATATGGAGGTGATTATTTCTAAAAATATCAGAGCACTGAGTCTCCATGGAGCTGCTGAAGTACAGCTGGAGATGTTGGTGATAGGCTAGGAGATGTTTAAGCAACCTCCTTCCCCCAGCTCTACTCATAAATATCAGCTTTCAGTCCTTGTGAAAATTTTAAGCCTCAAAGACAAAAATGAGATTAGCATGAAAAGATTCAACTGGCAGTTCCTCAGTCTCCTTTTGAGGAAAGAAGAAATCTTACCAAAGGGTCACTTACAAGCAGCAGTCTTCAACAGAGTAGCTGAAGAGCAGGCTGGAAGTTCTTGATTTAATGTTAAGTCTTTATAAACAATTGGTATTATAATTATTTTGATTACCCTTTACTCTAAGATTTTTCCAAATCTCCATCATCAGGACTGATTTATTGTGGAGCTGACAAAAAAAATATATATATATGTGTATCTTTTTTAGCTCCCTACAGAGAGATAGGGTGGGCAAAAAGGCAGAGGGGATGGGGACAAACAGCTACCCTTCAGGGCTTGGACTGCAATCACCAACTGAGGTGACAATGAGGCTGAATGACCCTGAAGCAGGGAAAGGCTGGAGGAAGCACGGGGCTGTTCTACCATTGCTTGCCCTTAGGAGGACTGAAAAAGCCCAGTCTGGGCTCCCGGGAGCATGGGACCAGCCAGGGCACATCATGCCTCCAGCTGCATATCCCTCCTCTCCTGAGCCAGCTCTGGTAGCACAGCATAGGCACAAATAGGCACTGGGAGCAACAACCGGCAGAGAGGCTTTCTTTTTTTGCAGTGTAACATGAGACAATGCAGCTTATCCCCAGTAAATTCAGAAAAAAAAGCTGTAACCTGTTGGCTCTGGGAGAAGTGGGGCTTTGCATGGAAGAACACTGCATTTAGAGAAGTGCTAGCCTTTTTAGCACCACAGCCTTTCCGCTCCTTGCACATTCCTTACACAAGAGGTATATCAATAATATTAGGTGATACACACGAAAGAGAATCATTCACCATGCCAGACTAATACTCCTATGAAACACAAAACTCTACAACAGCTTGACTTTTGCTCAGTACCTCTGTATGCCCCTGAAACAAACTGGCTTCTTGATTAGCTCACCTCTTTCTAAAGTCAAGCCAGACTTCAGAAACCAGCTACAAAACATATACAAACCATGGCCTTGTAACCCTTGTGCCCAGCATTAAGACATAAACTACATTCACGACACAACTGGCCGTCAGTCCCATACTGTTTTCACTAACATTTGGCACAATCAGAACTAAATGCATGAGTTCACTCAAGATGCATTGTGTGTATGTGTTGTTGTGTACTCACAGCTGTACCTTAAGAAGAAGTAGATGCTTAAATTAAGGAAAAAACAATGCACTGTTGATTGTTTCTTCTAATATGATTAGGCAGCCTCTGCATAACAAATTAGTATCAACAGATATTTACTCCGTGGGTCACAGGATTAGGAATGACACAAATTCTCTTTCAGTCAGCACTTTTTGTCAGTATTACTTTGTTACCATTGGATGGCAAATGTTCAACTATTAATATTCCTGTCAAGGATTTTCAGACTTCAAGCTCATGAGGCAACCAAGTGAACTTCTAGCTCACAAGTGTAATAGTTTATCCTGTACATCATTTCCACAGCTCTTTCTATAAGCTACCTGCAGTTTTAGCCGGGATTTTTCTCCAACAAGGAGTGTAAAGACTTCTTACACGTAGCACAAAAAAGGGGGAAAGGTTTAATTACACACTTAGTGGTGCCTGATTATGTTAAATTTAAGCAGCTAAATACCATCCTCATAATATATACAACCACAGATCATTCATTTTTGCAACAAGCATAAAAGAAGTCATACCTAAACACAATCTGTGGCCATCACTCACCAGTGATGTGATCATGAACAGCTTCGGCAAAACTTGCCATAAACAACAGCTTCCACCCCTAGACCTGGCTGCACTCTCAGATGTAAGGCAAGCAGAAGTTGCTGGATTGGAATTAAAAATCTGCAGTACCATCAAAGCATCACAAGTGGCTATTTAGAGATGTAGTTTGGTTTTGGGAAAATTTAGGACAGATAGGCTGGCATTCAAATTTACACCTTCCAAGAGCTGAAATTAGCAATGCAGCCTAGTATTTTGTTTCCACCTAATGCCCAGGGTCAAAACTACTGCAAAATCATTGCAGTTCAGTGTCAAATATATTAAATAAAATAAACTAAAATAGGCAGGAATAAGACACTCTCAATTAAGCTCTTTTCTGTCTTCTAAAATGTAAAACTCTTCTCACTCTATTCTCTTGCCCCTTTCACGCCTTCATTTCCTGGCTGTTAGCTAAAATGATGGGCAGACCTGAAATTCAGTTGTCTCACCCAGCAGGTAACCATGGAGCACCTAAAAACTCTTCTCCTCCCAATCAGAGCTGACTTTCAACAAGGTCTCTTGACTTCTACATCTGCTTGACTTCAGCACAGAAAGGTTTTCCAGCAGGCCCTTTCCCAAAAGGAAACATGTAGGAAGGAACTCACAAGAGAAGTGGGGAGAACCTTCCAGCTTGGCAACAAGTTCCTCCTCATTTCAGGTGTGAAAAGCACAGTTTAGGATAGTGAACAGCTTGTTCATCTTGCATTTGCTGCTGCTCTGTAACAAGCACAGGTTGGTCACTCAGACCTGGCTTTGTCTAGGGTTTAGAAGCCCTTTGGGATTTGAAATCTCTCCTAGAGCCCTGAAAGCAAGGGATTTCAGGCTATTTAAGCTTGGCTGCTTCTTTGCTGTAGCCTATTCTGTTGCAGTCTGCTCATGGTCAGCTTCCCATCCCTTGGGAGAACTGCAGAAAAACAGTGGTATCAAAAAGAAGGTTACTTTAGTCTGCTCAGAAAATTACTGACTGCATCAGGGAATTAATCAAAGCAATTGAGTACCTGAAGCTCATCATCAGTGTGGTACAGATTAATCAAATTCAGCTGAGGTTCTCAGCTTAACTCTCTTTCCACTAAAATTCAGCACGTACAAAGCACCATCCACCACAAGGACTGGAAGTCAGCTGCCAGGGCTTTGATGTCTCTTTGGAGTGCTACTCCTGAGAAACATTTTCCTCTCTAGGACTGAGGCCACTGAAAACTGTGATATGATGACCTCTGTTACGAATCTCTACCTGAGCATGGGGACTGTGTGCAGCATGCTACTGCTTTCTTCTTTCCATGTGTTAGTGTGTTTCTCCCTCCATGCTTTGGGGTCCTTTCCAGAAAGGAACATCTACAAAGATCCTGAATCCAGGATAAGGAAAACAATGAAAATAAAGTGCTGTAAAATGAAACTCATTCTCATGGTCATACAGGATAATATTAATGTCTAATTTAAACCTCTATTAACCATCAGAGTCAATAAATAAACTTTCTTGGATACAATCTTCCATCTATCAGCACTAAGATTTGCAGCAAAATACTTTGCCATGTGGCAAACCCTTTCATGGCATTTCAGGGAGTTCTGCTATAATTTTTTAAATGTGTGAGAAGCATCACAGATCCCTGCTCCACAATGACAGTGAAGTAACTATAAGGATGAATTCTAACTTGGTTTTAAACAGTGTTGTTGTTTGTTGGTTTGACAGGTCTGCAGGCAGTGGTACCTCACACACAAAAGGAAAATCACCTATTTAAGCTTAACATTGGCTCATGTAGGTGCAGAAAAAAAATCTGATCTAGAGAGCCAGTGTCTCAGTGTACATTCAGTCCTCAAACTCTCTGCCATGGCTGCCAATAAGTACTTCAGCCTCTGCCAATTGTAGCCATAGTTATGTGATTTGGACAGAAATTTCTCCACTAGAATCTGGATAAAGCCCAGTGACTCATTTCACACTGGCCCATAGCCATTGGATGGTAATGACTTTTGGGCACTGCTCCGATTCAGCAAGTCTGGTAATGTAGGAGGTGAAAAGCCCTTCATTCTGTTTCTCTGTATTCTGTGATTTGAATTTTAAGCCATCCTGTTCCCAGAGGATGAAGAATTAGCAATAGTTATCTTAACAGATTGATTTCTGTGCCACAGCTGTGAGATTAATGTGCTGTCTAAGCAGTGAAAAAAGCAAATCTGCCATGACCTTGCAGGGGTTCGTAAGGAGTAAAAATCAGACTTGCTGCTTCCGCAAACACATTTTAAGGACAAAAAAAAAAAAAAAAAAAAAAAAAAAAAAAAAAAACAACACCTGGAACAAATTT